ATATAAAACCATATCATATAAAACCATATTCATGTTGGCTACTCTCTTAAAAAATACGAATTTTCAAACTATTAAAAAAAATATGCTCTATCAAGTTACATTAATATTTTTAGCCATCATTATCTAATATTTTTGTTATATTCAAATTAGAAGAAAACTCATTTGTATGAGTGGTGCTAGATGAATTATCCATCTAAGTTCAAAATAGCAACAAAATAAAAACAACATCAATCTCAATCCCAAAATAACAATAGAAAAACAATAACACATAAAACATTTTGAGTTTAGGCTTTTAACAACAACAACAACAAAAACAATAGTATACGTAACATATCTACACAAACCCAACAACATTAGTGTTAATATCATATCAAATATCATACTTGAACTCAAATTTACTTGCATGTCCTCAAACCTTCAATGTAAAACAACACTAAAAACCTTCACTAAACCTTCAATAACTCAATAAAAACAACAACAACAACAATAATATTAAACCTTCAATGCCTCAATAACAACAAACCTTCGCATTGCAACAACTATATCAAACCTTCAATATCTCAATAACACAAAACCTTTAATATCTCAATAACAACAAAGAGACAATAACACATAAATGCTTAACTCAGCAAACCTTTAAAGAATTTGATCAATACATATAACCATTATAACTCAGCAATGCCATATACATATACCTTCAATATCTTAATAACAACAAAGAGACAATAACACAAAACCTTAAATATCCCAATAACACAAAACCATCTATATCATCAGAACAGAAAAACCATTTATATCTTCAAATACCAACAATGGTGAAAAGATAAATAAACAAGAAAACCATAGTAAAGCTTCACATACCGTAACAATGGTGGAAATGCAATGCAGACGGACGGATGCACTCGAAAACGGACGGTGAACGGCGGCGCAATCCAACGGAAGAGGGCGACGGTCGGACGGAGGATGACGGCAACAGAATGTTTGAATAGGGCAAGTTCGTTCGCCAGAGGAGAAAGAAAGAAGAAAAGAAATGTATGCGACTGTTCTGTTTCTTTCTAAATTCTTGAGGGTATTTTAAAATTATAATACTAATACCTATAGCAGCGCTTTTTAAAGGCCTTTAGCAGCGCTTTAAAAAGCGCTTTCATAGGGTGCCTTAGCAATGCCATATAGCAGCGCTTTATAGAAAAAAGCGCTTTCTAAGGGTCCCCCTTTAGCAGCGCTTTTTAAAAGCGCTTTCATAGGGTCCCCCTTTAGCAGCGCTTTTTAAAAGCGCTTTCTTAGGGTACCCCTTTAGCAGCGCTTTTTAAAAAGCGCTTTCTTAGGGTCCCCCTTTAGCAGCGCTTTTTTAAAAGCGCTGTCTTTGATAGGCAATTTTTTTTCTTTTTTTTTACTCACCCTTTAGCAGCGCTTTTATAAAAAGCGTTGTCTTTGTATGCGCTGCTAAAACTCATTTCTGGCGTAGTGATCAGTTGAAGCCTAACTGTCAATTGGCCTGGTTCATTGTCCCAGAGAGAGTCATTCCCTAGTCCTAACCAGCATATACTTTGGCCCTATCAATGTCTGGTAAATCAAAAACTAATTCCAAATGGTAAACTATATGTGCATCAAATGTATACTGAAACTAATGTAACACAGAAATCAAAATCAAGGACGATTACCTCACAGCTAACATGGATTGAAGAAGAACAATAGATTTGCACTATGGAAAAGAAGCATAAGTTGTTGCAATGGACACGAGTTTGAGAACAAGGAGAAGTTGCTGCAATGAAGAATAATGAGATAATGTTGTAGTATAAAATGTCTTTTAAAAGTCCCACATTGATTTTTGTATAAGACATAACAATTCAATTGTGGGTTAGAAAGATGGACCAAAGACATGGGTCAATAACTAAAGGACCAAAGAGTTTTATTTAAAATTTTAATTAATTAATTAATTATAAAATATTAATCATTAATTAATTAATTAATTAATTAATTAAAATAATATTAATAAGTTAATTATCCTAGTCAATAAAAAAAGTCTTAAATTAATTTTTTAAAAATGACCTGACATTAGACAAGTCATCTTAAATAGTGTCATATCATTACAAAAAATTTAAAATTGGAGAGGGGACTAAAATCAAACTCAAAACTTAAAAAAGAGACCAAAATCATAATTTTTAAAATGGTAGGACCAAAACCCAAAAAAATACAAAATAGGGGGACCATAGTTGCAATTAAGCCTATTATAAACAAATTTTTTTTGGTATTTTATAAATAAAAATGTAAATAATATTTAAATAAAACATTTAAATTAGTAAATATAAAATTGATTTAAAGTACTAGTGTTTTAGCATGACTTGAAATCATTAATAATAGATATGGAAATCATATATTTATAAAAATCAAAATCATAATGCAACTACGTGTAAATATAAAAAATAGTTATTCACCTAGTTATTTATTGAAGGTGATTTTAGCGTCTAACTAGTACTATCTAAAGATAAAGACTAGAAGAAAAAATAGTAGTAATTTTGAATAATTTTGATTAATAATAGATTGAATACCTGCATTATAATGATTTCTAATTAATGGAAATATCTACATTTTTTCTTCTATTAGTTGTAAGAAGAAAAAAAATATTTTTCACATTTATTAAACTAATAACATAAACATTAACAGAGATTTTAAGTGACATTGTTGCTTAATAGGAAGGTCAACCATGAAATCGAAATAAAAAATATCTCTTGTTTTACTGCAAAATAAATGAAGTAAATTTTAATAGTAAATAATATAATGTAATATAGTGAGTGCACGCCAAGTGTGACTTTGCAAAAGTATAGTTTATTTTAAAATAATATAGTGTAATATGTCATCCTCTTTATTATCCCTAAAAAGATCAATATGTGGCACAACATGCATAATATAGCGGTTTTTAAAGTTTGCATTGTTTACTTCATCTCAATTAAATTCTAATAATAATTATACCTCCATCAATAAATTAATTCAAAAACAGTTGAATAACAATCCCTATGTCAATGGTGAAAAATCATCTTGGAAAAGAAAATAATTTGAAATCTAACAACAATATTTTCTACGCATGACTTCTAAATAAGACAAAACCTTGTGGATAATACACCAAAATAATTATAAATGTAACTTAACAAAACCAATCATCAATTAAAATACATACATATGTGTAAATTCATTTTTAACAAACTATAATGAAAAAAATTAATTAATCTATTTTCTATGTATGATCACCAGCAAACACTCTTCAAAATTCTTTAAAAATTGCAAGAAAAAAATCATCATGCAAAGAAGAGTTATATGTGTTAAATTTTCCATAAGTTTTTTTTTAATGGAAGTTAATGATGGTTAAAGAACAAAAATAACCAACGACTCATATTCAAGTTATTTATAATTATAAAAATTAGATTTAACTTAACTAAAATCATCATAAATTTAATATAATGCATATATAGTGTAATTTTGTCCATAAACCATACAATAGAAAAAATATATCGTAGTATTTAGTCATTATCATTGCATAATCACCAACTAATACTTGAAAATAAACATTTTTGAAAATACAAATACAAATTACATAGCTTAGACGGTGATCATTGTATAATCACCAAAAATAAGCCTTAATGGAGTGGCAGAAAAAAGAAACTTCTTAGAATAAAGATTTAATGTTCAGTCTTCCTATTAAAGAACGTTATTGATTATACAATATAAATAGTACTTTGTATTATTTGGTTATTTAATATATTTAGAATAACTTTGTTTATTATTTTCAAAATGTAATAATATTATTAGCATGTTTAGACTACATATTTTTTTATCTAAATTTTATTTAATTCGGTATGTTTAAAATAATAGTAGCATTAATATATAGTTAATTCACTAAAGTATTTTTAGTATATATATATTTATCATCTTGATTTTAAGACTGCTTGAGGGTATTTAAAAATATTACTTTTAATAAATCGTAAGTATGATAAATACTTCATACAAAATTAAGACTAAATGAGAATTATACCTAAGGCTAAATCACAAAGTATATGATATATAGTTTCTGAGATATATAACTAAGGCTATTTTAATGCGCATAAAAATATAAACGATATTTTTTGCAACAATCCTTAAAAGTATAAACGATATTTTTTGCAACAATCCTTAAAACGATATTACCCACATATTGTATTTTTAAAAAGATTTATTTTAACAAAAAATATCTGTTATATTTTTATGCGCATTAACAAAAAAGTTTTTTGGATTACATATGTATGATAAATACTTCCGTGCCCGTTTGTCCGCTTTTTGTAATGCGCACAACATAGGAAAATAAACGTGTGTATATTATGTGCGAAGTTACTTGCATATTTTCTTAATGCGCACAACATAGAAAAATAAGCGGACAGACAGGCACAAGAGAGATATCATCACAAATATGAGGATTAAGAACTGAAATCTTTATCTTGAGAATTAAGAACTATCTGAGTCTAGGCGAGTTTATATATAATTCCATCATAAAATGAATTGATTGGACATCTCACCATATGTAAGTTGTCACCAAAAGGTTAATTGAAAGACTATTGTATTGTCTATGCATCTTGTTCGATCGTTCATATTACGCACCATGGGCTTCGGTGCTCTATACATTTGATGAGGGAAACATCAAATCTATTATTAAGTTATTTAGAAATAATAACTTAAACGCGACTATATGATAGTTGTTATTCAAGTTTTTGCAAGTACATTTTAAGTCGAATTACATTTTAAGTATATTGACTTAAAATGTATTATCAATATTGAATAACTGTACCATACGTTATTGATTTTAATTATTTCTAAAAATCAAAATGTAGATAGTGAGTATTAAATATGCTAAATCCATTTTAATTACAAATATATTACTCGATGGAGATTTTGAAGCAGTTGTGGATGACTTTGGTTTGGCAAAACTGGTTGATGTTCGACGGACTAATGTGACAACTCAAATTCGTGGGACAATGGGCCATATAGCTCCTGAATACTTGTCAACCGGAAAGTCTTCAGAAAAGACAGATGTTTTTAGTTACGGGGTTATGCTTTTGGAGCTTGTTACAGGTCAACGTGCAATTGACTTTTCGCGTTTGGAAGATGAAGATGATGTGTTATTGCTTGACCATGTGAGAACATCATTTTAGTCCTTGCTTGTCCTCTTTCTGCTTTTGTGGTTGTTTCTTATTTGTATGAATAATTATAGGCTTCTGTTTTTCTATACTTGTGTTTTATTTAGGTGAAGAAGCTACAGCGGGAGAAAAAACTAGACGCCATTGTTGACAGCAACCTTAAAAAAGAGTACAACATAGAAGAGGTTGAAATGATAGTACAAGTTGCATTACTGTGCGCACAAGGTATGCCAGAGGATCGTCCGGCAATGTCAGAGGTTGTAAGAATGTTGGAGGGAGAAGGGCTGACTGAAAGGTGGGAAGAATGGCAGCACGTGGAGGTTAGTCGGAGGCAAGACTCGGAGAGACTGCAAAGAAGATTTGCATGGGGAGAAGATTCAATTCATAACCAAGAAGCCATCGAGTTGTCGGGTGGAAGATGAGAGGGAACCATAAGTTTCTATCAACATTTTTGATGTTGTCACAGATATCTCATTTCAACCAAAAACAAGTAATTGAGCACGTTTAGGAAATTCTAGTATAGAAAAAAAAACGTTTGTGCGACTAGAAATGAAAGAATTCACGGATGTGTTGCATTGGCACATTACATTGTTATGCAGCTCAGCAATTACGTCATAACTGTACATATGCATGCAAGAAACATGTTCAAAATACCCGTTATTGTTAATTATCAGACTGTGTTTCAACTTTGAACATTGAATCCTAATTTTAAATGTGATCATTTTTGAAATAGCTTGAGGCGCTAGCACGGGAATGTCATTTCACAAAAACAAATATGAACATATAAATCAAAGGTAATCAAATCCATAAGGCGAATAGGTATGACTTTTTTTTTACTTTTTTTTTGTTGAATTGCAAGTAGTCAACGAGTGCGCCAACGCGTCAATGATTTCATCTGTTGTCTATATGATACCTTATTTTCTGAAGTAATGGTGAAGTATAGATCAATGTTTTAAAACTCAACTATTGACTAGTCCGGCAATTGGTTAGACTTGTGACTCGTGAGTCATTAGTCGGATTATATGATTTTAACATATCATTTATTTTTTAAATTGATATAAATTTCTGATTATCAAATATTTTAAAAAACTTCGATAAAATCTAATTTTTTTCATACATAGATATGTATTCAAATTTAAGAACTCAAATTCAAAAATCAAATTTATATAAAGTAATGTTTTTTAACTAGTGGCAACACAAAATTATTATTTTATAGTCATAATTTCATATTCAAAATTATATTAAGACAAATCTTAATATCAAATAAAAAAATATTTTAATAAAATATTTTTAAGGTTCTAAAAATTGTATATTTTGAGGTGAGATACACATAGATAGTTCTATATAACAAAACCTTAATATTCAGGCTCTTCGTTCACTATAAGAAAAATTCTTTTTAACCACATGATATAGTGACGTGAAAATCACGTGGAAAAAAAGGAGTTGCGACGCAATAATCACGTCTCACGTCGCTACATGTTTTATTTTTTTAAGTATTGAAATTGACACAAACACATGGAGAATGCAAGCAAAATAATTAATAAAAATGTTGTGACGTAATAATCACGCCGCAATACAAAAAGTAAAATAAAAAAGTAAATGGTTTCAAGTTTTATAGAGGTAGTAGAGGTTGTGACGTGATAATCACGTCGCAACACAAAAAGTAAAATAAAAAAAGTAAATGGAATCAGGCTTGCAAAGGTAGCATATGAGAAAAAATTTAAAAATAGAATATTATTTTTTTAAAATAGAATAATATTTTTCATATATTATTTTTAAAATAGAATAATATTTTTTTAAAACAGAATAAAAACAGAATATATTATATTATAATTTTTAAACAAATACTATATTATATTGTAAATAAAAACAAAATCAAAAATATAATATATTATATGTTTAAAAACAGAATAATATATTATTTTTAAAATAGAATAATATTTTTAAAAACTGAATAAAAATAGAATATTATTTTTAGTAATATATTATATCATATTTTAAATGAAAAGATAATATTTGATATTATATTTTTCTATAAAACTAGAAATATATATATATATATATATATATATATATATATATATATATATATATATATATATATATATATATATATATATATATATATATATATATATATATATATATATATATATATATATATATATATATATATATATATATATATATATATATATATATATATATATATATATATATATATATATATATATATATATATATTATACGTTATATGTTTATTAAATGTATAGTTAAAATAATAACAAAATATTTATGTTTATCTTAAAAAATTTATTATATAATTTTATAAAAAATAAAATATGTTATATTAATTATCTTATATGTTATATTATATGATATCAATGTATTATATGTCTTGATATATGTTATGTATTATATGTTATATTATGATTATATGTTATGCATTATGTTATATTATATGTTTACTAATTCTATGTTATTTTATATATTCATTAAATTTTTAGTGTAAAGAAAATTGTATGAAATTTTTATTTAAGTTTATTAAAAACAAAATAGTATGAAATTTATTTGTAGTTATATACATATATTAAGAATAATTAAAAAATAGTAGAAAGTTTGTTTGTATTAAAAGTAATTTTTAGTTAATATAAGTTTATGTCAAAGAATAATTTTAAGTTAGTTAATACTTGTAGTTAATGTTTTATCAAAATTCCTGAAATTGGTTGATATATTAAAAATGTAATATGATGGTAAAATTTTTGACATGAAACAAAAGATGGGAGCAATGGAGGCCCTTTTGAAAAGCATGTATATGCAACAAAATCCACATTTAAGTGAAGAGGAAGTAAATGATAAGATGAGAGAAGTCTTGCACAATGATAATATTCCAACACCGTGCTCATCGACATCAACCTATGCTCCTGCTGATCATCAAAAGGTACTACAATTGATATTAATTAAAATTGGCATTTATTTTACTAAGTGTTGAGTTGGTATTTCTTTAGTATACTGATTTATGTTGCTTATATCGAGTTCTCCCCTAGGATTAGTTAGTATTTTCTTACCAAATTTTGCTACTAATATGATATTAGTGACGAAATCGAAATCAATGATAACATCATTTTTCAAAGTGTTTGTTTGTTATGTTGGCCTTAGTGTTTGTTTGGTCTGAAAAATCTGTGCTATTAAGTTGAAAATTATAAAGTGAGATGTGTTATAGCTACCCACCCACCATAATTTGTTGATTTGATTTAATTAAGTTTCATGTGTATAAACTTGGCATGAACGTGTAAAGTACTTCAAGCTATAGTACTTTATATTGATTCAATAAAAAAAATTCCTCCAAATTTACCTCGTGATTTTTTTGTAAATTTTATTTTTAATTTAAACAAAAATATTTTAATTTTTAATTGTAGATAATATTACGTAATATAGGTGATGTACTGTTTTAGTAAAATTAAACTATAATTTGAATGTTAATTTGAAACATGGATGAAGTGATTTTGTGAACTATTATGTGATTATTGAAACATGGATGGATATAATGAACATCATGTATTTGTCTTTAAAAAGGTGGTTTTTTAGTGTTTATATTAATTTATAAAAAAAATTCTTCATATTTACAGGTTAGAAATGAAGATGATCCTCAAGATGAACAAGATGACGTTCTCCAAGATGACGATGATCTTCAAGATGATGACGATCTTCATTATGACCAAGATGATGACGATCTCCAATATGATCAAGATGACGATCTTCAATATGATCAAGTTGACGGTTCTCAAGATGATGATTATGATCATGATCCTCAGTATAATGAATATGATGAAGACCTTCACTGATTCAAATATAGATAATTATTTTTTGTTTTATGGAGTTACATAAACCACCTAATTAGTTTATATTTAAAAGAGTTTGGATTTATGGAGTTACATAAACCACCTAATTAGTTTATTATATTTCAAAGAGTTTGGATTTATTTTGAAAATACTTGTTCTTATATTTCAAAGTGTTTATTACAATTCATCTTATTAATACTTCATATTGATATGTTTTGATTAATTTATACATGTGTTTCTTCTCATTTAATTAATAATATTGACTTATACCATATTAGAATAAAATGAAGGTTTATGGCTGAAATATATCACCATATAAATGAATAGGAATTTTTTTTAGTAATTATATCTTTAAGTTTAAAGTTAATATTTAATTACCAAATATTTTTCAATTCATAGGCAACGTTTTTTAAGGGTTGCTTATTAAAAACCGTGGACTTTTCCTAAGTTTTAGGCGCGGTTCTTTAAATGAAATCATAAAGTAGCTACGGTTTTAATTTGTTGCTTTTTTATAACCGTTGTATATTCATATTTTGGGGACGGTTATTTTGTGTTGTTACTAGAAAACCGCGGCCTAAAACTACAACTAAAACTGTGGAATTTGATGATTTAGGCGACGATGTTTTGAATCTGTGGTTAAAAATAAATAAAAAACCGTGCTCTAAAGGAATAGGCAACAGCCGTTTATTCCACGCGTGATAAACCGTCCCCTAAAGTCTTAGGCTACGGTTATTGCACTTTAGGTTGTGGTTTTGAGTTGTTGCCAAAAGTCATTTTTGTTGTAGTGGCATTTGGAATTAAAAAGACAATGATTGTATAAATGTGTAGTATGAAATATTATAGGTACTATTATAGTTGGATGTATGATAGGTTGTATTAAGGAAGACGCAGACTTAAATCAAATGTTGAGGTGGGAGTTAAATGGTTTATCACATGGGCATTTTCTCAGGAATGTCGTCGAAGCGAAGGAAGAATTAGATGTCATTGTCTTAAATTTGAATGCAGACCTATAATTAGTGACCTAGAGGAAGTAGAACGTCTTTTGAAGAGAAGGGGTTTCATTGAAAATTATTTGGTTTGGACATATAATGGAGAAGAACTGTCGAGTAGCATACTAGAGACCAATAACACACATGCTTCAAATAGTCGATCACCGATGGAACATGGGGAAAACTTTAATCTGATCTGTGAGATGGTGGACGATGCTTTTGGTGTGAACGTGACCTATGACGAACTTGAAGATTTTGATGGGGAAGAGTTACCGAATGAGGAAGCGCAAAGATTTTATCAGTTGTTGAATGAGATGAATACGCCGTTGTTTGAGGGCTCGTCTGACTCAGAGTTATCAATGTGTGTGAAATTATTGGCTGCCAAATCAAATTGGAATGTTCTTGATCAGTTTTTGGAATTCTTCGCAAAAATGATGCTCGATGCAACTCCTACGAACGACAACTTGCCTACAAGTTTTTATGACGCAAAAAGGTTGGTGTCGAAGTTGGATTTAGAAGTAAGAAAGATTGACTGTTGCGTTAGTGGTTGCATGTTGTTTTATGACAATGAATTTGGTACTAATGATGGAG